CGCCCGGCCTAAGTTTTGTATTTTTAATAGAGATGGGGTTTTGTCATGTTGGCCAGGCTGGTCTCAAACTCCTGACCTCAAGTGATCCACCCACCTTGGCCTCCCCCCAAAAAATGTTAAATCTTAACTCATCTAACAAATTCTGCCCCAATATGTCTGCTCTGCCCACTCATTTTGCAGTGTTAAAGACCACTTTACTGGAATCTTACTCTATAGGATTCTCATCCTAAGAAGATAGTTCCAGCTGACTGAAGTCTTATCGGAGTTCTTTGGCTGGGTTTACTAACCTTCTAGGAGGACAAAATGCTGGTTGCACAAGAATGTGAAAGTATTTAATGCCACTGAACAGTACATTCGAAATTGGTTAAAATGGTAAATGTATGTTATACATATGATGTGTATTTTACCATAATAACGAAGAAAAGGACATAAGGCCGAAGATGGTATGTTTTGTGTGTGTCTATGTGTGTTTATGTGATCAGGATTTCTATTCATTGTGATGACCAAGACAATGCAATGCAGATGCTATGCAGACTAGCAAGACTGCTGTGGGTTGGGGGATCTCGCACACCAACAGTGAGGATGATAGCCTGTCCTGGACTCTCTCATGTCCACCTAACCTCCAGTGGCTTAGGCCTGGCCCTTCCTGGAAGCAGGGTACTACTAGCCAAGTTGGTTCTTGTGGAGGCCCTCTCATATGACAAGGGTCTATGTAACTAGTTGTCCTTTCTTCTCTCTTCCAGCCTCATACCTTGTCTAACTTCAGGCCACTCCCTCCCATGATTCAAGCTCCCCATCTTAAGGAAGACCAGAGGCTTCCCCAGTGCTGGCAGGACAGCTACCTTCCAGCATGCTGACATGCATGGCATCATTGGCTTTCTTTGGGACACTGAGCATCACTTCCAGGCCATCCTTGAGCTCCCCTTTCCCTTCTTCGCAGCAAGTTAAAAGTTCCTGGGGAAAAAAAATTCGGGACACAATTAGGGCCACCTCCCCCAGCTTCCTCCCACCACCTAACCCACCAAGGAAATTACAGACCAGCTTCACTCTCTGTAATGGTTCCCTCTGATCTACAAAGAAAGTGAGGTGAGATGGGGTAAGGGGTTATCTCCAAGAATTCAACCACTACTTTTCTCCCACACTGAGCTTTCTCAGCCCAATCCAGCCCAAACTAACTCAATCCAACCCAACTCCCAAATTGATTGACCTATAAGACAGCAACTGAGGTCTTCTCTGTCACTGGACGGCCCTCAGAGAGGGGACTACCCCAGCAAAGCACATGAACAGAGGTACAGTATTTTGCAATCCAATAAAGAGACTAAAGAGAAGAATGAGGAGAATAAAGGGAAGATCAAGAGTGTGCTACACAGCACTCATATATCCCTGCATGCCTACTGTGGACACCACTTTTATTTACAAGCCTCTACAGCCTGAATGCTGGCTTCCATCTTACTGGGAACAATCTGAGGTTGGAGACTTAATAGGCTAATGACATTCCAGAATAATAAACTATTTTTAGATCATATGGATCAGGAATTCCTAATCTGGTCCAATAGATGGGATTCTAGACTATTTCACTGTCAGATGAGGTAAGTGCAATTAAGAGAGATGAAGTGATTTTCCTCAGGTTATATAACTCAGTGGAGGCTACGCTGGGGCCTGAATCCAGGTCTCCTGAATCCAAATCTGGCACTTTATTCACCACATCAATGCTGTGTCTCATATATTCTGTCCCCCACTGAGACCTCCAGGGGCAATACCCTCCTTCTTTTACCTCCTGGGGAGCTGGGGAGCATGTCCTTTCTTTTGTATTTCCTCATTGGAGACTTGGCCATCACCACCCCCAAAAAAGATACATAGTATCTGGTTGGTGGAGAAAAGATCATTTCCAACTATATGGAGAATCATAAGACCATTTGGAATGATTTTTGCTTAAACCAGAATGTTCGCTTTACATTTTTCCTATTAGGTTCACTGGATCTTGCTCACTTTGACACTGGGAGAGGAATGGTTAAGCAACAGATCTGCAAACTATACTCTTTCCTTGAGGGGACAAGGGATGGGTGTTGAGGGGAGGTGCCTTTCCTAGAAAGAAGTTCAACAGATCAAATCTTGTAAACATTTTAACGACAGACCTCCTCACAAATAACCTAATGGTACTTGCTAGCAAGAGGGGACTTAACTAGGAAATATTTTTTAATAGGATAAATCTGGTCTGTCTAGGGCTTCTTAACAGTAAACAGTCCTAGAATCTGTGGCTTTAGAGGCATGGCTCTCTGGAAGGTGTCACATAAGTTATGCAACTATCTAAGTAAAAAGGGAATATCCTTAATGAGCAAATGGCTCTTTTCAGGGCAAGCCATACAATGTGATGCACATAATTTTCAGACCTTGTAGATCAGTCTGGCCACAGCATGTCCTGATGCTGCAAGAAAGGACATGGAGCTGCCCTGGTGGTCCTGGCCCTTTTCCCTGTGTCATCTCTGCCTTAGAATTACTTATATCCTTGAAATTATGAGTAAAGCTTTATACTTGGTAAGAGATCTAATTAGTGAGAGTCTGATACAAAAATCTAATCCTTAGTGTTATCTTGGATATATTTCCGTAAGGATAAGGGAGGTGAGTGTCCAAAGAAGAAGTGTGCTACCTAGATCACATGTTTGGGAGGGAGACGTGATCATTTCTCAGCTATGTCCTTGGCTCCAGTCAGTATAATGTCATACTTGTTCGGAAAGTGGTATTTACTTCTGCCAACCTAAAGTTCTGAGATTTTCCCACCCCTTTCCTTATTTTAACCTTCCCAATCTTATTTTCATACATCATCAAAGAAAATCCTGAGGCAAAACGTAAGAGAAAAAACAAGAAATATGCTTCAGTTTGTGACAGAAAACACAAATCAGTGTAATCCTCCCTGCCCAAAACAATTTAGTAAGTCTACCAATCTACATCAGGGTCAATAAATTTTCCCTGATCCTTGCTATACTTTATGATAAGGAGAAGGCTCCACATTTAATTTAGGATCCTTTCGTAAAGCCACAGCAGATTTACATGAAGGATGTTGAGCACTCTGATATAGTTTCTACTTTCATGCCATACCTAAAGTGATGAACCCCAGAGGATACTGATAATTCAATATACATTTATTTGAAATAAAACTGACTTTATGAAAATAAATTCCCTATTATTTATTTATAGGAAAAGCTCAGCAAATTGTTTTTCTCTTACTCAGCAGGCGCTCTGCCACCAGCACATTTAAAAGGGACCAAAATTATATACTTCTCCTTTTCTTTTCTTTCTTTTTTTTTTTACACAGAGTCTTGCTCTGTCCTGGGCCTGGAGTGCAGTGGCATGATCTCAGCTTACTGCAACCTCTGCCTCCCAGGTTCAAGCAATTCTTCTGTCTCAGCCTCCCAAGTAGCTGGGACTACAGGCACATGCCACCACGCCTGGCTAATTTTTGTATTTTTAGTAGAGACGGGGTTTCACCGTATTGGTCAGGCTGGTCTCAAACTCCTGACCTGAAGTGATCCACCCACCTCAGTCTCCCAAAGTGCTGGGATTACAGGCATGAGCCACTGGGCCCAGCCTATCTTCTTAAAAAAATAATAATAATTTTATGACTTCCTCACAATCAAAATCCTGCCACTTTTTCTACTTCTTAGCTACCTCCATAGGCACCTCTTCCTTAAAACACTCAATTCTAGAACAAAGGTCCAGAGCCCAACCCTTCAACTGCCTTCAGCAAAACACAAGCCTATTCCGTCCTAAACTTCCCTCCCTTGTCTGTGCCACATAACTCATCCTAGGGTGCTTAAGCCTTACAGGATTCAAGGGAGAGGTAAAAAGCCATATATTTTTTTAGAACTGCATCTTAGTTGATATAAGACACTAGCAGTATGGATAGGTGAGTCAGCATCGGTTTGTCTTTTTTTTTTTTTTTTCCCCTTTTTAAATTTACAACCCAACCAATTCTTGAAAAAACTTTGGGATACACACATTTACTTCTGTGGCCTTAGAGGCACGGTTCTCTTTAAAAAATCATAAAAACTTTTATGGTTTTTAAAAGTCTATTAGTACAAGAAAAATAATTTTATTTTTTATTTTATTCATTTATTTTTTGAGATGGAGTCTCACTCTGTTGCCCAAGCTGGAGTACAGTAGCATGATACTGGCTCACTGCTGCCTCCACCTCCAAGGTTCAAGCAATTCTCATGCCTCAGTCTCTGAGTAGCTGTCCAGATTACAGGCACACACCACCATGCGCAGCTAATTTTTCACCATGTTGACCAGGCTGGTCTTGAACTCCTGACCTCAAGCAATCCACATGCATTGGCCTCCCAAAGTGCTGGGATTACAGGCATAAGCCACTGCACCCAGCCAACAAAAATAATTTTAAAAGGCCAAGCATTTAGCGGAACAGGAAAGAAGAAGGCAATTATACACAAAATCTGGGCTAACGAGATTCTTCTGTAACCAACCACAAAATTCAGTACTAACTTTCGAACAGCCACAGGTAAAGAAGGGCCTAAGCATCTGTCATTTAAAGACACAAACGGTACTCATTTTTCAGGAGAGAGGATTCCTTACACCTCTGTCCTGAGATGTCACAAGAATTTCTTGTGAGTCTTTATATAAGACATTTCAAAAAACAAAGAAAGGAAAGCAGATTTGCCTGAATAGCTGAGATGTCTGCACACTCTTTCCTCACACTAGTCCTCATAGAGGCCAAGGGTGTGATATCGAATTGTAACACTTTAAGCTGTTTCTGCAGGGTTGGATGGCTGTAGTTCTGGAAGCAGATGCCCGTAGCCTTTTCTAGGAGATGAGGAAGCAGAAGAATTGGAGAAAAGAGGCTGAAGGGAAATGATGGTGCATGGCTCCACCCTGACTCAAAGGACAGAAAAACCCACCAGGGCACAAGCTCCTGCACCTTCACTTCTCTGCTGCCCTCACGCCTCTCATCATGGAACCCTAAGTGCTAAGCCAGGGAGATTACATGGGCTGGGAATGGTGTACTCACTCCATGACTACAATGGTGGATTTGAAATTAAACTGGTTTTCAGGTTCAGTGAAGCTAGGTTAGTTAAGTTTTTGCAGGCATCTCTAAACATAAGCTGAATTACATCAGTTTTTCTCTGAAATTATACAATGTACTTATAACATATCCCCTACTATCCCTTTATCTTTGCATTAAAGGAGCAACCAGCAGGATATTCCAAATGAGGGAAAACTTTACCCCTAAACCTTAAGAGTATAGATGGGTGTTATTTAACTACCTGTGTCAATTCCCCAGGCTTTCTGTGGAAATGACATTATTTTCAGTGTATCAATGCATTGTTATACAAGAAGGATCAACCCAACTTACTTAGTGTTTTATGTATTTGGTTATTTAACTTTTAAAGAAAATATTTTGAAGGAAAATCCAAATCTCTTGGTTGGCTCCAGAAGAACCCCTAACGTGAGAACCTATAGATATAAGAATACCCTTGTGTTTTAATATGTAACCTTTGACTATTTTCCTTCAAAATCCTCACCATCTTGACATTCACAAACACAGAGATTAAGGCAATGGTAGGTGCCACCCTGGCCTCTACTACCCATGTAAACTAGCACTGCCCTTAGGACTCTGACCTTTTTTTTTTTTTTTTTTTTGACTGAGTCTCACTTTGTTGCCCAGGCTGGAGTGCAGTGGCACGATCTCAGATCACCGCTACCTCTGCCTCCCAGGTTCAAGCGATTCTTCTGCCTCAGGTTCCCAAGTAACTGGGATTACAGGCACACATCACCACACCTGGCTAATCTTTTTGTATTTTTAGTAGAGATGGAATTTTGCCATGTTGGCCAGGCTGGTCTCAAACTCCTGGCCCCAAGTGATCTCCCCACCTCAGCCTCCCAAAGTGCTGGGATGATAGGCATGAACCACTGTGCCCGGCCAGATTCTGATCCTTGATTTCATCAAAAGCAGGGGCTACCAGGAAGAATCTGCTTCTGGAAGGAGGGACAAGAAGGCATCTAGGGGCCAGCCAGTGCCTGAGAAGACAATTGCTAAAAGTTGTGCAGTGGTAGGTAGATGAGAAAATGGTCACAACTTATTCCTGCTCCCATTTCTCCCACTTCTGCCTTAAAAGAGGCATCTGGAATTCCATGGGATAGGACAGCAATGCCAGTGTGGGTTGAAGTGCTGCTCTAGGTAGAAGAAAGGTCTTCAGGCAGAAGCATTCCCATCCTTAGGGGCCAAAGCTGGGACTCCCTTGGCCCAGGCAGTAGCCAATGGAGGGGGAGGGGGAGGAGAGGGGAGGTACCTTCAGGAGCAGTTGATATTTGGTGATCCTTTGGACAGGCTTAATTAGGTAGGAAGAGATGGAGTTGGCTAGACCATGCCGCTGCTGTATCTCCTGTAGGGATGAAAACAAGGTGTAATTAGACACAGAGTGGCATGTGCATGTGTGTGTGTTCTGAAAGGAGAGAGGCAGGAACCAGAAGAGAGGAAGAAAGAGGAAAAGGTAGACAAGTATGAGAAAATGGTCTTTGATAGGGAGAGGGGAGTAAAAAGAGAAACAAAAGATGCATATAGAGAGAAAATAGGAGAGAGTAAAAAGGGAGAAAGCTTAGGGAACGAAGCAGTGTGTGAAACAAATAGAAATTGGGCAAAAATGGAGAAAAAGAACAGTAGAAAAGAGAGCAATAAGGTAAATAACAGAGTGGAAGGTAAGGAGAGATGACGTGGGAGTGAAAGGAAATAAACTTCAAAAAGGAGAGTGAGTACAGGGAAGGCAGAGAATGAGGCTTTAACTTCCATTCTGATGGCTCCTGAGGAGCCTTTCCCTGCCCTCAGTCTCCTTAAAATAGCAGAAAGGTATATCTCTTTTATTAATACCATCCTTCTCTTTAAATTTAACATACCCCAACTCAGGGTCATCACTTTCTTATAAATGTTTCATTGTGATCAATGGCACCTCCTTCATTCTTCAGGTCTCCTAAGCTAGAAACCACAGAGTCAATTTTAGTAATTTCTCCACTGTTATTTCTGGTGACAAATCTCCTTTCCATTTCCAGGGACATCACCCTCATCACTCATTTCCAGGCTAAGGCCATGGCCTCCAACTGCTGTTTGTGCTTCTAGTCTCTCCTTTTAATCTACTCTCTAACCTACCTCCAAAATAATCTTCCACTCCCCAAAATCTAGGGGTTATAAGGGTCAGAGAAAGGTATATTTTTGTCCCTGCCCTCAAAAAGCTTATAGTCTAGCTGAGAATACTCAACGCACATGAACTAGAGATCAACAAAGGACAATAGGGGAAATTGTACAGTCAATAAAAACAGAGAGAGGCTATTGGGGTTGGGAGTAGCCGGGTGGTTAGTAGAGATAAGCCTCAACTTCACCTGGAGCTTAGAGGTGAGGTGGGCAGAGGGGGTGGGTTAAGTAAAAGATTAGAAGAATGACATTCACTCACATCAAACACAAAATGTACTAGCTGAAATAATCATTGTATGGTTAGGTGATGATGAGGATCACAACTGAATGGTACATAGGATGAACACCCACCTTCTATAAGAAGTGAAAAATATAGTTAGATATGCAAAGTTGGGTCATTGATGGGTTTGAGTTAGGAAAGAGTTAGGATATGATGGTAATTTTTTCAATAAAGTATCACAGATCTTAAAGAGAAAAAACGGCTGAGGCATGGTGTCTCATGCCTGTAATTCCAGCACTTTGGGAGGCCGAGGTGGGAGTATCACTTGTGTCCAGGAGTTCAAGACCAGTCTGGGCAACATAGCCAGATCCCATCTCTACAAAAAATACAAAAATTAGCTGGATATGGTGGCACATGCCTGTAGTCCCAGCTACTTGGGAGGCTGAGGTGGGAGGATTACTTGAGCCCAGGAGGTCAAGGCTATAGTGAGCTATGATCATGCCACTGCACTCAGCCTGGGTGACAGAGAGAGACCCTGTCTCAAAACAAACAAACAAAAAAACCACAACAAAAAGAAAAAAAAAACACATGAGAGACAGAGAGACAAGTTATGAGGCTATTGGAAAGGCCCAGATGTGTAGACATAACGTTACCACATGATCCAGCAATTCAAGTTCTAGGTACATACCCAAGAGAAATAAAATATATCCATGCATGAACAACCCAAATATACATAAACTGATAAATGGAAAAATAACATGTAGTATATTCATACAATGGAATAATACTTAGACATAAAAGGAAATGAAGTCCTGATGCATGAAACAAAATAGTTGAACCCTGAACACATTATGCTAAGTGAAAGAAGCCAGTCACAAAAGAACATGTACTGACTCAATTTTTATGAAATGTCCAGGCAAGGTAGATCTATCTGTAGAGACACAAAGTATATATCATTGGTTGTTTGGAAGTGGAAGTTTGTGGTGGAGAGCTGGGGGGTGATAGCTAAAGGATACAGGATTGCTTTGTGAGGTGATAAAAATGCCCTAAAATTGACTGTAGGGATGGTTGCATATATCTGTCAGCACACACAAAAAACCATTGAATTCATACTTTAAATGGTTGAAATGTATGATATCTGAAATCATCTCTCAATAAAGCTGTCATTTAAAAATAGGTCCAGGTATGCAATGTAGGGGTATGTTCTAAGCTAGAATTAGTGAGAATAAATCATTGGGAAGAATAAAAGAGACATTTTCTTTTCTTTTCTTTTCTTTTAAAGATGGGGTTTCACCACATTGGTCAGGCTGGTCCTGAACTCCCAACCTCAGGTGATCCGCCCGCCTTGGCCTCCAAACTGCTTGGATTATAGGCGTGAGCCACCATGCCTCGCCCAAAAAGGGATATTTTAAAGATGGACTAGATAGGACTTGTTACGGGGCTATGAAGAGCAGTAAAGGAAAGAGAATAATAATTTAAAAAATTATTCCATTTCCTATCAGAAATTATTTCTATCCCAGAAAGCAGTAATTTTGTCACCATTTGCCTCTTCCCCAGAGACGTGTGGTTACAAGACTTGTTTGAGGATGATGGGCAAAACAGCTGCAGCTTGACTCTCTTCAGGCAACTGAACCTGTTAGTTTATCTGGAGGTTCTGGCAAGACAGCACAAGCAACAATGCACCTTTGACACTCTTCCGTCTCTGATGAGAAGCCCAGCTTCAGGAAGGCTGCATGTGGAGCAGCGAGGAAGGGGCCTACGTCAGTCAAACCAAACTGAGACATCACACCCACGCTGTTCTCACATTTAGGGTCAAACGTTCTGGATCATGTGAATGTGTAACCCTTTCTAGGACTTTAATTCTCTGTGCTCTCTTAACAGTAATGGATATTAGGGGACTCTCTATATTAAGGGTTTATCTCATTTATAGAATGAGGGCCTAAAGCAGATGGTTCCTAAATGTAGAAGTTAGGGAAACTCTTCTGACAGAATGAAAATAAGCTGCAAAGATTACACCTTTTAGAAAGTTTTGAAAGCAATCGGAGAGTTTACTCTCCTCCTTCCCCACTTCCAGGGCAGATTTGAAGAACTCCTACTGGACTGTTTTTCTGGCTTCCATCAGCTTTTCCAACTAAGGTAGAGACTCACTAGGCACTACATTGGAAATGGGCGACAGGGTGGGAAATTTGGGGATATACCTGACTTATCAAAGCCTAGATATTGGCTAGAAATGGAGATGTGAGGTACGTAGGACTAAAGGAAAACACAGTCTAGTGCCAGGCACTGAGATGTTTACAAATATGAACCAGGCAAAAAGTCTCAAGGAGCTCATAGGTGGAGGGAGATGCGAGTAATAGAAAGGTACACTGCTAACCTGCTCAAAGGAAAATCATTACAAATGCTATAACAAAGATACAAAGTACAAAAGAAAGGATTCCTGCAGGAAGCAGCATGTGACCTTTAAAGGATAGGAAGAATTTTGGAGAGAGAGAGAAAGAAGGGTGTGTGTGTGTGTGTGTGTGTGTGTGTGTGTGTGTGTGTGTGTGTGTGTGTGTGTGTGTGTTATGGAGGGGACACAATCTATCCTAGGCAGAGACAGCAGCGTGAGCAAAGATATGAAGCAGAAGAGTTTGAGGCATGCTCAGAGCACAGGACATGTATGTCAGAAAGGTGCTAAGTGGAAGACAGGACATGATACATTTAAAACTTCAGAAAGAACCTTCTGGATACTGTTCATGAATAATCAATAGAAGCATCCTAAGGGAAAAAGATCCTCAATCAGAGGTAATAGTGGTATAGAGCATCCAGTATGATACTCAATAATATCAGGTCAAAGAAGTACTTTTCTTGGGTTCTTCTTTGGTACCAAATCTGACCCCAGATACTCCAGTGTGGGACACATTGAGCCATTTCCATATTAATGCTCCATTAATAAAATATGTGTGTGTTTCTTCATCTGGCTTTCTCTCATTAGAGTGTCATTTCTTTACTGAACATAAGACATTTATAGAATCACTTCTGTTGAGGCAGTGCCAGGCTAGAAAGACGCTCAGGGAAGGTTTCTTTTGCACACCTGAGTACAAGAACCCTGTTTTAATGTCTTTTATTCTCCACGGGGCCTAGCCCACTACCTTGCATACAGTGGACATCCAAACATTTGTGAAAAAAAAACAAAACAGGTAGGCAGAAAGATAGATAACCTTTAAAAAGTTCTAAGTTGCTAGTTTGTCACTTCTGATATGACTACCAAAATGGCCATCACTGCTATAGTCTGCCTCTCACTAAACTTTCTTTTTTCCCCAATTTCACTTTTCCCTCTTATTCATCCTTTGAATCCTGCAGGGATCCCTTTGATTTTGCTTACTGTAAAGCCAATACATCACTCTCTTTGGGAATCAGCACTAAATAGATAGATCTCACCATTCACCAACAAGATTGTGTCATCATTCCAAACCAAAGGATCTGACAAGGCACACCAGCTTCACTCTTTTCTTGGCTTCTATCACAGCAGAAGTGTTCAGGCCTGGCTGCACATCACTCTCACCAGAAACTAAAATATCCCAAAGCTCAGGTCATAGTCAGGCCAATCATAGCAGAACTCAGGCATGAGATTCAGGATCAGTTTTTTCCAAAGCTTGCCAGGTGATTCCAATGTGTAGCCAAAGTCAAAACAACTGCATTAGAGAAGTGATTCTCAAACTTGAGTGGACTTCAGTCACCCAGAGGCCTCTTTAAAACTCAAGTTGTTGGGCTCCCCCCGAGAGATTCTGATTTAATAGATGTAGACTGAGGTCCAAGGATCACATTTTTGGAAACACTACGTTTGTGAGAGCTGTATATGAAGCAGAAGTGAAATACATTAATCAACGGCTGCATCACAATGGGCCTGCTCTAAACATGTGCTTTATGGCTACCTAGGTTTGGTGTGGAGGAATGGAAACAAATTTGCCTCATCAAAAATCACATTGGTTGACACAGGATAGGGTAAAACAAAATATAGGTATATACATTTTTGGTTTTTTTCCATGCTTAAGGTTTGGAGCGGCCAGTAAAGAAAAATTAGGAACAAAGGATAGCTAAACATCCATTATGCTAAAGCAGAGAAGTATTTCCACCTGCTCATCAGCTGCTCAAAAATGGAAAACCACAACTTACATCAAAGAAGGTGCCTGCATGCTCCAGGATAAGCTGGTTGGAATCAGGCTTGTTTTTACAGTAGGTGACATACATCTGAAATTTGTCTGCCTAAAAAGAACAAAGATAATAACAGATAAGCATACATTAGTTGCTCCCTTCTGTCCACAATGCTAAACGGCCCAGCAAGGGCCGTACAGTTAAAACCCTCAGATGCCAAGGGCTAGATTTTCTATGGCAAATGTTCTGTGCTCATCCAGCCCCCATGGTCCCCTAACAGACATGGAGATGTCTTTCTCCTGTCAGCATGTAGAAAAAGCTTCTGAAACTGAGCTCATTTTAATACTAGTTTGTGCTAGGAAGAATCAGGAAAAGCAACTCATACATCCTGATCTATTCTGAAATTGGACAGAACTTAGTTACTGATTTTACCCATTTTTGGATTATCTACAATTGTGCTCCCCATCTTGAAAAAAGACAGTATTTGCTCTGAATACAAAAACAAATAATGAAGATAAAGTACGTCCACAGAGGTAGATCTGCTTGTACTCTAAATGTCTCCATTGGAGAGAGGTAGAGGGGCATGTCAAGCAATTATACTATCCCCAACTTCCCAGAGCAATGACGGGGGTGGGCGAGGGGAGAGAAAGCAGACTGACCACCTGGGGCAGAGGCTAAACAATGGTTCCTAACCAGATTTTGTTACTTCAAGCCAGGAACCTTATGGCTGGGTGAAAATTCATTTCTTATTTTCACCCAGCCATAAGGTTACTGGGAAAGGTATGTATATTTTTGCCACCAAATGCTTTTCTTATTTGGTGAAATGCTTTCCATCTCAGAGCCTTTGGAACTTTGTGTTTGCATCCTCTTCTGAGACAGCAGCCCAAACATGTTTTTATTACAGCAGACTTCATTTATGCTAGCATTGTTCTAAGAGCTTTACATGTATTCACTCATCTCGTCCTCATGAGACCTCTACACAGTGAGTTCTATTATTATCCCCAGTTTGCCCATGAGAAAACTGTGGCACAGGCTGGTTAAGTGACTTTGAATTCCCACAGTTAGCAGGTAGCAGAGCCTTACCAGCTAACTGTGGGAATTCAAAGTCACTTAACTAAGCAGGGTATCTGACTTTAGGCTTCTTGGTCTTAACCACTTTCTTTCAATACATTATAAACAATTTCTTCTACCCTTCATTTCTGCATTACATTCATATATTAAGATTATGAGACTTAAGAAAGTCACCTTGGGATAATTCCTGGCAAAAGATGAATATTTTATCCAATCACAAAAATTTTCTGAAACCAATTTTCAGGGCTATATACTACCTAGGAGGTTATTCGTCAACCCGAGGAGATGATGACAAATCATTCTTATGAATTATGATTGTAAAGGAAAGCCACAAATTTCAGGAAACAAGATGCAAAACATATCCCTTTACTTAATGGTCAATCTTGCCATTCTCTCTGTTGGCTGTGCAAGGAATCATAAATTATTTATCAGCATTAATACGAGCTTTGCATTGGCTCATCATTTAGAGGTAGAAAATGTATTAGAACAAAATAAGATGGCAGCTGAGCTTTCTGAAGAAACAAGAGTGCTTGAAAGCAAGCATTAAGAGTTCATAAAAAAAGCTTGTCTGGGAGTGAGGTCTTGAGTTGTGGGACTGGCTGTGATATTTATTACATGTCAGTGAACTAGTTAACTTCCTATCTCATCTGAGATTTTCCCATCTTTAAAATCTAAAACATAAACCATAGTCCTGCCAACCACATAGGGCTGTTGAGAACATAAAGTCTCTGAATCATGAAGACACTTTGAAAGGTAATTAGCCCATTATAAGTGGAAATTATTATCAGGTAATTATTCAGTAGTAGAACGCCTGACCTTAGGGATTTCCATGTTTGCACTCAGTGTCCTAAGTGGACTTCCCAGGAGATGTTTGCATTCATATATTGTACATGAGCCTGAGTTCAGAGTGGAGAGCCAATGAAGACTAATGTTTCAGTTTGTATAATTAGAACCTGGGACATTCAGCCCCTTTCCTTGGCCCATGACAATAGTATGAAGGAGGCTGACCACTCATCTTGTGGGTCAGAATTGGGATGGATGCCCCAAAAATCTGTTTTTCCCTATGAAAGAAGCAAATGTAACCAATGGTTAGGTGGAACTCAAAGGATAAACGCTTGAGGAGATGGACACCCCACGCATTCTCCATGATGTGCTTATTTCACATTGTATGCCTGTATCAACATATTTAGTCTGCCCTATAAGCATATACACCTACCATGTATACACAAAATTAAAGATAAAAAAATTTTTTTAAATGAGTAGGTGGCTTCCTAAAGGTTTAATTCCCTAATCCGTATCCTGTAACAATAGCTAATGGACTGAGCTGTAGTTCCTCTGCCAGGAGTGGTAGTCTTGTTCCACTCTTCTTCTTCTTTCTTCTTTTTTTAAAGAAAGAGTTTTGCTCTTGTTGCCCAGGCTGGAGTGCAATGGCGTGATCTCAGCTCACCGCAACCTCCGCCTCCCGAGTTCAAGTGATTCTCCTGTCTCAGCCTCCTGAGTAGATGGGATTACAGGCATGTGCCACCATGCCCAGCTAATTTTGTATTTTTAGTAGAGTTGGGGTTTCTCCACGTTGCTCAGGCTGGTTTCGAACTCCCAACCTCAGGTAATCTGCCCGCCTCGGCCTCCCAAAGTGCTGGGATCACAGGCGTGAGCCATCGCACCTGGCCTTGTGCCACTCTTCTGATCTCACAATTTTAGAAAGTTCTTAGACAGTTTAAGAGGGAGGTTAATCTTGATGTCTAAGAACTTTTCCCAAGGCTTCTCTCAGACCTACTCATGATCCGTCCTAGGAGCCCCTGGTCCTGTGTGAGACTGGCAGTGACACCAGTCCTCAGGCCAGGCACTGAAGAGTGGTGCCACATGTATGGGCAGTGGGAGGAGGATTTCAGGTTGGTTACCCAGGTAACAAAGCAGTGTCCCACGTCTTCAGGCAGCTGCTCGTACTTCTCCAGCTCTTTGAGGAAGATGCTGCAAGAGGAGAAAAAGGCTGAATCAGACACCTCTGTGCAGCCGACCCCCCACGGTATTGCACCAAGGCCAGCACAACCATAACTTCTCAATTATTTACACACGGCTTCTCTGCTGTCTAAGTGATAGATGGTGAGGTACAGTTTTTAATGTTGGAACTAATTTCATTAAAATGTAGGTTAATTGATTAATTAGCGCTACTTAATATTCTTTCTCTCAGGGTAAAAACGTCTAGGGGTGAAAATAATAATGAAATATTGTATTTGTGTTGGACTTTTTATCAGCAAGTATGAATCTACTTTTTTACACAAGTAATCTGAGCACATCATAAATATTTTAAATAATACAGATATTTCAAAGAAACAAAATAAAATATCACATTATCCCACAGATAAAGTAGAAAAAATTCATCCTGCACTGGCCTCTTTCTGTTGGCCTCCATCTTCCACCAGGAGCCAATTTGTACTAAAAACTATGTGTTAAACAATGTTTTATAATACAAACACCATTAGGAAAGAAAATTTAATGGGTGAAAAGTCACAACATATTCCAAAGCTGAATTGAATTACAATTGAATTATCTGCCAATGTGGTTATCCATGCCATGGCTCCTTTCCATGTTAATAAATAATAAATAATTACACTGACTTCAAAATAATATATTAAAGCATTGGTTTGGTTTCAGAGGATATAAATTCTAATAAGCCAGCACTATTATTAGAATGGTATTTGCTTTTAAAAACACAGTATTTTTCAAATAAAAAATAATGATGAAGCTTTGGGCATATATACTGACAGAAGTGGAAATGCTACGATCTTTACAAGGAAAAATTTGACAGGATCGATTAAATAACGAATGTGTTTATTTTTTGACTCTGCAATTTTAATTCTGGAAATTTTCCTGTATATATATATAAGATGATGTATAGACATGAATATTAGTGATGACACTGTTTATACAAGCAAAAGATGGTCTGTAAAGAACAAGGCATTTAAACTATGGCACACCCACAGAACTAAGTACTATGTAGCTATGAAAAAAATACACAGCTCTCTATGTTTTCATATGGAAGAACTCTGGGAAAAGCTAAGTGGGAAAAGTTACAGAAGAATGTATAGAATATGCAACTTTTTATCTACATAGGGATGGCATATTCTTATTTCCAACCCAATAAATGAATAAAAGACATTACCACAGGGAAGCAGGTGAAGGAACAGAATAGAAGACAGTGGTAGGTGATACTTCTCAATGTTTACTTTTCTGTCTAATTTTGATTTTAAAATTGTGAGATCGCATTATCTTCCAAAATTGAATTATAAGATACAAAGTGGTTCTGCTTAACTCTACTACTTACCTGTAACATAGAGGGGAAAAAGGTTTTTGACTAACTCTTCCTAGCTTCTATTGTTCACATATTTTGGCAGTATGTTATAATTAATTACAAGTGGTTATAGATTTCACATAAGTGTTGCATGTGTTCCTCCTTCAGTGACATAGAATGACGTTTTGGAGCTTAAAAAATATATATGTGCAATTAAAAATGTTTGGCAGATCCTATTTGGAAAGCCAAAATGCTAATAATAGTTGATGTGGTAATAGATGACTTATTTGTCCATCTGTAACTTTTCTACAATAAATGAGCACTGCTTTAATAATAAGAAAAATAACCATTTAAAAAATGTGGGGGACTCCAGGCAGTACCCAGTTGGTGATCATCATCTTTGTCCTTATATAAGTGATTTTAGAGTATTCTGACCTGAATCATAGAGTAATTATAATGCAGTTTGGGCTTCAGCAATGCAAATATGTAGTGCTCAAGGTCAATAAAGTGTCATATTTGTTGCTACTTTTTAAAGAACTACAAGTGGCTGGGTGCAGTGGCTCATGCCTGTAATCCCAGCACTTTGGGAGGCCAAAGTGGGCGGATCATGAGGTCAGGAAATCGAGACCATCCTGGCCAACACGGTGAAACCCGTCTCTACTAAAAATACAAAAATTAGCTGGGCGTGGTGCCACGTGCCTGTGATCCCAACTACTTGGGAGGCTGAGGCAGGAGAATCACTTGAACCAGGGAGTCGGAAGTTGCAGTGAGCCAAGAATGTGCCACATTACTACAGCCTGAATGACAGAGTGAGACTCTGTCTCAAAAAAAAAAAAAAAAAAAAAAAAAAAAAACTACAAAAAAAAAAAAAAAAAAAAAAAAAAAAAAACCTACAAGTGACACATTTAAACTAGTATATACTTAATATGACCATTAAAATGCAAATTTTAAAAAGTGCTATGTAATGTTATAATTGAGGATCACACTTAAGACCCAAAGGGAAAAATATACTCTTTTTTTGTTGAGAAAAGAATCAATCTGGGTCATTATCATATATATACACACACAGGTACACATAAATTCATATATATACTTACATGTATTTAATTTAAAATTTAAAAAATTTAAATAATAGAGATGAGGTCTTGCCATGTTGCCCAGGCTGGTCTCAAACTCCTCAGCTCAAGCAATCCTCTTGCCTTGACCTCCCAAAGAGCTGAGATTACAGGCATGAACTGCCATCCCAAGCCTGGGCTCTTCTCCTTGAAGAGTAGTAAAATAAATGGTAAAACAGCCCAGATTAGGACATTCCACACAGGACATAAAATTGTTTTATTGTTTCAGAAGTTGCAAGGATACCCATGATGACTCATGGAGAGTCATTATTTATGACCCAAGAACAGTTGGCCTGGTCACTTTAATTTGAAGTAAACAATGATAATTATGTCTAAAGAATTGATCAGTGATAGAAAGACCATGCTAGCAATTTTATTTAAAATCTTACTAATTTAAATAGAGCAATACCCTGACTTTTGTGATAGCAGCTACCAAAAACCTATGGAAGATGCACAATTTGAAAATCCTCAGGAAACAAAAACACTATAACCAGAATTAAATGCACAGCTTATAATTTTCATGATGAATGTCTTTCTGTAAAATGAAGGTTTTAACAGCAGTTATCACTAGGTCACCTGTCTACCTACCCCCAGGTCTCACTATCTTCTCATCCCACAACTGAGCACAAGTTAAAGAACCAGAGTTCACACTTGGTCACAGTTGCGAAGGGGTCTTTCCTTCCAAAGCCTCATTCCCCTCATCTTTAAATAACAACTTTGCCGAGGCAGGTAGATCACCTGAGGTCAAGAGTTCGAGACCAGCCTGGCTAACATGATAAAACCCAGTCTCTACTAAAAATACAAAAAATCAGCTGGGCATGGTGGAGGTTGCCCATAATCCCAGCTACTCAGGAGGAGGCGGCGGTTGCAGTGAGCGGAGATCGTGCCACTGCGCTCCAGCCTGGGCATTAAGAGCTAAACTCCATCTCAAAAAAGATAAAAATGAAAATAAATAACAACTTTGTGGGAGTGCTTTTAAGGATTTAATAAATCCACAGGTAAAAATAACCCAACCCAATGCCTGGAAACACAGTAGACATCAAGTAAATAGTAGTTATTCACGATCAGTGTTTCTCAATCTTAATAAACTCACATTCTCTTTGATAAACACATATATCTGACACTCTTCCCCACTCCTGGAGACATATCTAGGGGGATCTCCCTACCAAGCCCTTGCTGAAAAATCTGCAGCAGGTTACTTTCTCCTAAACCATATCCTGGGAAAATCTTGATTGGTTATTATGCAAAAATTGGATTCCAAGGTCACCTATCACTTGTTTGGGAGATGTTGGGCTAAGCTGGTTTCTTTGCTGAAGAACTTCAAAAATTCTATAACATGATGAGTTACACTATAAACCACTGAAGTAAATCCAATATGCAGTTCTTCCCAAACTTCTCTGCGAGTACAACACTTTTGGGGCAAGTATCAGACTTTGTCTCAAGAAACACTCTTGGAAAACTCTAGTTAGTGGTCCCCACACCTGGTTGTATATTGCCCTCTGGGGTTACTATCTGAGTAAATGCATTGTTTAGAAAAACTTCCTGGGTAATTCCCACACATCCAGTCCATAGATCAGCTTTTAAAGGCAACTGTCCTGGATTCCAGCATGCTTCCAGATGGCAAATCCTACATCGGCTCTAAAGGATTTAATTTAGGAGGAGAAAGCTAAGAATTTAAAAAATAAAACCTATTCAGCTTGTATCAGGCATATCAATTGATAAGTCTGAATAAGATAATTATCACCATCTCAATGTAATTGTTGAAAGTAAGTGGCAATATTAAACTCTGTTTTGCTTCTTAATTTGAAACTTATGAAGATGACAGATTACATAAGTCTGATCAATATCATTCCACTTATCTCAAATAGACATGATGAATTTAAATTAAAGTGTAACAGCTCACAACTCTCTTCACAAATGATGGAACATTTCACCTTAGCTGTTCTTTAGCAACAATTTGGCTTTTACCACTCCAATAATTACATGTAATAAACTGTGAAAGAATGAGCAAAACAAGTCATTTGTTTGTGTGAATGTCTAGGGTTCTTTCAAAAAGGAACAAAACTTTTAAAGAAATGTCAAGATCGAAGCAATGTCATTACTCTATTAAATTATTACAATATAATATATCATGCAGTTACTTTATGAGGAAAATTCTTTCCTTTGGCTTTGTACAGAATCCCCGGAAATGAAACTGCTGGCATTCATTAACAGAAAGCTTACTGAGTTTTGTCATTAAGTATTATAGAAGCAGCACTATTCCAAAGGTACCACAGTGGTTTTGTTACTCTCTCTGAAGGTGAATTTGGTCTAGAGTCTCACTGCTTCTGGGGAAGTGTACCCTTCATTGAGGGGCTCACAATCTTGTCAGCAAACAGACTTTACATCAAGGGTGCCGTCTGCATCTAAATGGAAATATGTGTTTGATGACCTTGTGTGTCAGTGTGCACTTGCTTGCTGGAATGCCAGAGGTATAAGGGGAAGGGGCCTGTTGCGGCGATGGGAAAGAGAGGAACAATGTGGAGCATACATTTAAAAATTAAGTTGGAAATGAGGCGGGGAGA